TCAGCTGACCGTATTGGGTAATAACCAAAGTCCTCCGATCATAGAATTGTCGCTTCATGTAGTGCAAAGCAGTTCCAGATTTTTAAATTTTAAATGCGATGAAAACAATAATAATGACAAATTAAACATTTCAAATCTATGTAAAATAGTAAAATTGGTCATTTATGTGATAGATATGTATGTTTATGCAAATACGACCCCCTATCTTTCTGCAAATCCAATATCTAATAGGTCTTTATAATGGAGGTAGTTTATGTATTGATGTACAGTTTCTTAGTCTCATTCTTTTCGTTAAGAACTCCGTTTCATCTGTGGGTGTTCAGGTTGTTGTTTTTTTGACAAAGACAGTAAAAATGTTGGCATAGTAAAATCATTTATCACATAATGTACTGTGTTGTCCAGTGAATATACCCATGTCATATATGTTTTTGTGTATTAACACATATAATATGACCTATCAGCCAGCCCTGTGATTGGTTATAAGTTTCAATTGTTTCAATTGTGACGTCACGCCTAGGACAGGTACCTGACGTCACAGACTTACGCACTGGAGTCAAAATGGTTTTTTTTTTTTACATTTCAAGGCTGCATAAAAATTGACGTTTAACACGAATAAATGCCACAAATCTTGAATATGTGATAAAAGGATCTTACACTTATAGGACAACACAGTACATTATGTGATAAATGATTTTACTATGCCAACATTTTTACTGTCTTTCCCGGAATAACATCATTATCATTACAAACTTTGCCTAGGGTGAAGGGCCATAGCGAGGCAGCGGGCACGATGTGCTTGTTTTTGGTTATTTTCATTTCCGTGTATTTATGAGAATTAAACAAAGTATGAAGCACTATAAATATTCCAGTTTAAAATAGCAAGTCTTATGGGCAAAATAAGACAAATGACCAAAGCGTCAGATATGGGAAATAAACAACTTGTTGTTAAATGGAAAAAAAGGCATTAAGTTGAAGAAATGTGCAAGCGAGGAAAATAACTAGTTTTGATTATTGGAAAATCGAAGTTTTTTTGCTTGATATCAACGTATGGAAATCGATGCAGATGTGGAAATGCATTTTCACTACATGTAACGAGGTATAATGTATGTAATCAAGATACAGTCGAACCTCGTTATCTCGAAGTCGACGGGGTCGTGGGAAAACTTCGAGTTATCCGAGTATTCGAGTTAAGCGGGTTCATAGATTTGGTATGAAATTTGCTGTTGGGACATAGCACTAGCAGTTGTTGGTTTTATTAATAATTAATGCTTTTAATCAATCGATAAATGATATACGTAATCAATATAACAAATACAGCTATGCAATTTTACAATAAACACGCTTACAAAAATAGAGTTAAAGTTATTTCAGAAAAACGTACTTTCGTTTTTAAACGCGATCAAAACGTTTGTACCATTTTGTGAACTCGTTATTAAATATGGACGGGCCTAGTGATTAATGTTGTTTTTGGCTAGTATAGATCTTGGCAAATCTTTCCAGGTCTGTATTTGTATTTGTAAGTCCGTCAAGTTTTACTTCTGAATTGTTACATTTCAAACCGAACTATCCCGCTGTCTCTGATCTCGTAGTTTACAATGCGGAAATGAAAGTGCGCAAGTCTAAAACAAATCACTGTAATGGAGCGTACGCATAGTTGATTCTGTAAATGAAAACACACAAACAAATTATATCGTACACGTGACACATTGATTCATTAAAGCCAAGTATGACACCTGACACCTCCTCAACTCGATGTAATCAACAGCAATTATCGTTTTGTTCTTAAATCTCTCGATGGACTTTCAAAGCCATACTGGCTCCTGTAAAAACATGAACCCGTTAAGCTGTCCTAGGTTGTGATTTTAACTGTGGAACTCTTTTATGCATGACCACGCTTTGTGACTAATTTTCGATGTCGTCTGTTTAGGTATACAAATCATTAAACCGACTCGCAGTAAGTACAGATTACTGTTGATCAACATTGATGCAGTTTGTTTTTTATTATGAATAACATGGTTTCCGTAAACTTTACAGTCCTAAGTTTTATCGTAAATTCTTTTTTACTGATTTCATGCTAGTCTACTTACGAAAGATGTTCATAAACACGGAATGGCGAAATGTCGTACTTTTGCGTTTTATTTGTATCAAAGAATTAACAAGTGACAAAATGAAAGTTGGATACTATGTTGGATTAACGCTATTGAAACCAATATTTTACTTCGAGGTATCCGAGTTTTTCGACTTTTCAGGGTTCGAATTATCAGAGTTTTATTTACTAAGATAAAGAACAGATTTGGCCGGGACCGGAGAAATACTTCGAGATAAACGGGGTCTTCGAGTTAAAAGAGTTCGAGATAACGAGGTTCGACTGTATGTTTATGTATTGCGGAGTTTTATATAACTCGAGTTTCAAAAATATACTGAACAAAAAAAGAAACGCACAAAGTTCCCCCCTACAGTACACCTTAGCTGTAAAGAAATAATGGAATATTTGGTCAGGTATTACACCAAGAACGATCTCCCTTCTCAATAATCTATCCTAAAATCAGCCAGGCGTGACGATGTCATTGTGTGACTTTGTGAGCTTCTTTAGTCCAAATCACGCGGCGTAATCAAGCCAAGCCGGAGTTTTTCAAACAAATACTCTCAACGGATACTCTAAGCTCAGCCACATTAATTTTCCACGTTGGCATTTTGATTTAGTCATTGACTGAGATGCCACGCTTAACGCAAATTCAGAGGGGTAGAGCAATTGCGATGTTGATGGATGGTCATAGCCAAACTGCTGTCGCCCGGCAGTTTGGTGTTGGCCCGTGTACAATTAACCGTCTCTGTACACGTTTCCGTGCTACTAGGTTAGTTTCCGATCGTCCCAGGAGCGGTCGTCCGCGTGTAACGACGCACGACAAGACAGGGCGATTCGATTGTCGCACTTGCGCAACAGATTCAAGACTGCTGTAGAGACTGCGTCGCATACCTTAGGTACTCATGGCAGACCCATCAGTCCTCAAACTGCCAGGAACCGCTTGCGTGCCGAGAGAATCATTGCGCGCCGACCTTATGTCGGGCCACCTCTGACACCACGAAGGCGGCAGGTGCGTCTTGACTGGATGGGGTGACATGGCCCGAATAGGTTTGGGATGCGTCGATGGAGGCGTGTAATGTTCACCGACGAGTCTAGATTGTGTCTGTATCGCTCAGACGGAAGAAAAAGGGTATATCGCAGACGCGGTGAGCGTTTCGCCGACGCATGCGTGGTTGAACGCGATATATTCGGTGGGGCTTCTGTAATGGTTTGGGGAGGCATTTCCCATGGAGTAAAATCCCCCTTAGTGGTCCTGGATCAAAACCTCAATGCCGTTCGATAGAGAGACCAGATCCTCCAACCACATGTCCTTCCACTTCTCAGACGTCATACTATAATTTTCCAGCAAGACAATGCTTGACCGCATGTTGCCAGAGTCTGTCGTGACAGGCGTATTAGGAAACGAAAAAAAAACCCAACTAACCGCGCCCAGTTGATCGCAGCATTAACACAAGAATGAAACAACATTCCCTTAAGGCGAATAAATGTTCTCATGAATTCAATGCATAAGAGAATCCGTGCAGGGATTCGTGCAAAAGGTGCCCACAATACGCACCGTTTATACAAAATTGAGTCCACTTGGCCCAATGATGCTCCAGAATAAATAAGGATATAATTCCTTTTTCCCTATGGTTGAAGAAGGATTTAAAACGTTTTGACTACGTTTCCCTATTTGGCCGCGCCCTTCTGCCCCCAAAGCATCCAAACCAACTGTTTATACAAAACGGAGTCCCCTTGGTCCAAGGATACTTAAGAACAAATTGGCATGAAATCCCTTTATCCCTTTGGTAGAAGAAGAACTGTAAAGGTTTTACCTGTATTTCCCCTTTTTGTCCCCCCCCTCTGCACCCAAGGGGG